TCAAGTGCTACTTTCAGTAAAGAATATCAAGATAATAAGACTGTGTAAGAAGCTCAGTAAGTAGTGACTAGAACCTTTCTCAGTAACAAGAGTGATGAGTAAGCAGACATATGAGTTAAAATTACTCACAGAATTGAAATCAATTTATTCTGTTTTTCACATTTTCTATTTAAAGCTCTATAAGCAACATCTCAGAGTGAAGCTGCCTCAGCTGAATAATATTGAGATTGAGAGTGATACTGAATATCTTATGAAGAAAATATTGAATAAGTGAATATATTACAGCAAGCTTCAATATCTTGTTAAATGAGAAGATTATTCATTATCAGAGAATTCATGAGAATCACTTAAGCATTTGAAAAATGCTGAGAAAGAGATTGTAATCTATGAGATAACTAGTAGAGATCACTCTGTTACATATCAGAGATGTTGAATAAGAAATACTGCTTAAGACTTCTTATTTTTCTTAAAGGATTTTTTTAGAGATGATCTTGCAGTGATAAGCTGATGTCTTGTAGACTCTGTAGCACTCTTCTTCTATTTTCTCTCAAAGAGTTTTTAGAAGTTTAATAAGACTACACAAGTGTAAAATTCCTGAAGTGATTAGAGAAAAGAGATATTGAAAATTAATAAAAAGATTAATATTATCAATCTGCAGACCACTGCTATTCTAATAGAGTCACAGCTCACTGAAAAAGTAAAAAGAGAGATCAGAGTTTACTTATCAATAATTACATTCTCATCAAACTCATTCTTCACTGTTGAAGTCTTCAGCACTGATATCTTTATCTGCTGAGAAGTTAGTACTGTGATACTGCAGAGAAGCATGCTACAGAAGAGTATAAAAGATGCTGAAAGTATTAACTTATTAACTTATAAAACATTTCAGTTATCTGCTTCAACTGAAGTGAGATTCTCTTCAATCAGTGATTAATCTCTGTGACACTTTCAACAGCAGCACTGACTAATCTCTTCTTAAGATCAGTTATTCTGAGGTGTTTTTTCATCTCAGAGATTCACACTTTCATCTTCTTTTGTAGATGAGTAAGAGAGATCTTCTCAGTCTTGATAAAATTCATCAATGCTTGAAGCTCTGAGACTCTCACTCTGTACTGCTTGAGTATCTAGACTTCTTATCAGAACTGACACAATATCTTTCTGTGAGATGATACTTACAGAGAGATAGAAGTTGTTGTTACAGATGTAATGAAAACAATGAGAGTGAGAGAAGAAGTGAGTGTATAAAATCCCCTTCTTCTTCAGCTGCTTAATGCAGTGCAGATAAGTAGCAGTATCAGTCAGAGATCACATCAGAGCCTTCTCATAGAGAGAAGATGAAGAAATCACAGAACTCTGCAGACTCAACTTAGCAGCATTCTGAGCAGGGCTCAGACATACTGTGAAAGAGGAACTATGAATTGAGCTTCTCAGAGTCACTGTCTCTGAAATCAAGCTCTCTCTGAGTTTCTCTCTGAATGATCACACAGGGTCATATGCTACTGTATTGATCAGAGGGGAGGGCGGTGTTGCAACAGCAGTGAGAGAGATGAGAGATGAACTGAACACAGATGAACCAACTGATAGAAGAGATGACATCTCACTGCAAGACACAGTGACTATCACTGCAGCTGCAAAAGAAGCAGAAGAAGAAGAAGATATGATAATGAAAGCAGTACTTCTGCAGCTCATTGACACCACTGTCTCTGCCTTCAACCTGGCTTTCTTGACAGTCACAGAGGCTGTCACTGCATTATGAAGACATTTGTTATTCACTAGAAAATGTCAGAATAAGTCCTTGATTATTCTTCAAGAATGATACTCTCATACACTCACTGTTGTGATTGAGAAGAGAAAAAGAAAAATGTTTCACAGAAAGAGAATCTTTTCAAAAAATTCTATCACTACTGTTAGCTTTGTCTCTAAAATACATCACTTTTGCAGAGAATTTCATATGTAGAATGAAATATATTGAGAGATCTGCAAGTCACTTGTTAACTATGTTTTTCACATTTTAAATCAATATATAAGAAACTCACTTATCACATGTTTAATTTAAATGATGATGAGAAAAGAAAGATCTATACAGTCAGCAGAAAAACTCATCTATTTCTTTGTATCATGTGCAGCACACACACTGTTAATCAGTTGATAATTATTGCTATATAACAAAGATAATTCCTAATTCAGTAATCTTGAGAGTATAGAGACTATACTCTTAAAGAGAAGAGTATTATCACACTCTCAGTTATATCAAGGCTCTGTTACAGTTTCACACAGCTCATCACTTTCATGTGAATAATTTCATTTCATCTGAATCAGTTTTCAATCACTCTATGATATCATTCAGATGTATCATAGAAAGATCTGATTAATGAATATAAGAACCTCACTTTTATACAAGATCAGCAGATTACTCTTTCTTAACAATGAGACACTGCTGAGGTATCACTTCAGCTATTCTCACTCATGAAATGAAAGAAGAGTATTCACTCATTGTCTATATAGAATAGCTAGATGCTGGCTTCTCATTAAAGAAGTCAGTGATTCATTTTTCTTCTACTGAAATATATATAAGAGTTACTACATGTCTCATACAATCTTCTTAGTATACTAAGTATCATATCTGTGATATTCTTGTAATAACCTTGTAGCCTACAAGCTTGCTATTCAAGCAAGATAGTCAAGCTTACTCATATGGCTTCTCAAACAACTACTTCTACATGATGCCGCTGACTAGTCACTACTTCGGTTCCGCCATGTTACAATAAGTCATATTCTACAATCTCTTGATAATGTATCTTTTCAGCAGTATAAGCATTATTATACAAAGGCAGTTAATAAGACTATCTGCTACAGATATGAGCAGTATGATGATAGATAATTTCTTACTAATCTGAAGAGCATTTAACTGTAAGCATTCAAACCTGGCACTGTGAGAGCTGGCTTTATCAATCATGAAATGTATTCAGTTAATTATGATATAATTCTCAATCAATTGAGACCTCTTATTATTGATGATGCTCTGAATCTCAACATATATGATGATAATAATGATATATGTAATCACTTTATCTCATCATCTGCAGATCAACTGTTAACTGTCTTCTTATAATTAATCTTCTCAGAGACAGTTATAAAACTATGTCATCAAATCAATACAGCAGTCAAGACCTTAGAAGATGTGAAGAATATTCTTACACCTGATTTAACAAGACAGTTGAACAAGATCTTCAAGAGTAGCATGATTCAGGTGAAATTAAACACACACTGTGAGAGTGAACTTGCAGATCATTATTAAGTAAATAGATATCAGATTATTAAATCCTCTCACAGACAGGTGCAAGTAGGTGAAGTCCTCACTATTAAGAATGTCAATCACAAGATCACAATCTGTAGAGCAGATGAGATGAAAAAGACATTCAATAAGACTCTTCAATCAATTGGAATCAAATCTACAAAATCTACAGCCACTCAACCACAACAAGATAATTCTATAGAATCTTAACTTACAGTGGATTCTACACCTTCTAATGAGTATATAGATAATCTTTATGTTATAGATAGATATGATGGTGATTATTAATTAATTTTTGAAGATTACTATATTCAAAATATTTTCTTTACAGTGTGGTTTTCCGTACGCTGTGGCGCACTCACTACAGAGGCATGGCACGGTTACAGTAGTAACTTAATCCTTTCCCCCTCCTCGTCTCTCGAGTCTCAGGAGAAAATTTGGAAACCATGCATCTGATTGGATAGGAATATTCTGTACATCCGACGGGCGCATTATGTATGTATGTACATGTACCTCCGATCATATACTACTACGACTACGTGCATGACGAAATCCTGCAACGCCCTGCGTTCCTTGGTTGAAAAGCGCCTCCTCGATGGCCGACGACTCAATGCAGCGAAAAATGGAAAAAAAAAGAAAAAGAAAAGAAAAAAGCATGACCCGCTAGGTCAATTGGCTAGATCAATTGGGTGGTGAGAAGTCGACAAGGCCCACAATAATAATTAAGCTCTAGATGAAGAAATATATACGCAGCGTAAAGCATATCAAATCTTATTCACTAGTTATAAAATAAATTTTGCCAGATGCCATGGCCCATATAAACTATATGGGACGATGTTTCTACGGCTATCCTAACAGATTTATATAAGTCGATATTGTGGTTTTTAAAGCCGCACATTTGATGCATATGCATATCTTGTAATCCATTATTTTCCCTCCTCCGCACTTCTCTCGCCATGGCCAAAGTTCGGGGACCTAACCGCTGTAAAACCCGCTTCACAAATCGGACGGATGCCAGCGGACAGAACACACTGTTCTTGTGACGATTCACCATATCTCATACTTCATTCAGAATTTTAAATAGTCCACTATAACTTATTTCAGAATATAAGGAGAATTCCAAACGCGCAAGCTTTGAAAAGTGTCTTGATGGCACATAAAGTGACGTGTAATCAACCCTAACTCTAATTCCTCTGCAAACCACTTTGACAACTGGATATCATGCATATATGGATTTCATATAAAACGGTCCAAGAACGAAAAGAAGATCTCCCGGCTTATGAGCTCTTCGCCTTGGGCCCATCTCATTAGCTCGCTCGGCCTTTCGCATCCGTCAATTCGATCTTCCGCCCCACATTATTCAGGGGAGGAGATATAGATAACAAAAGCTATGCTTTCGCTAGTTTGGACTATTTATTAAATATTAGACATTATACTGGAATATTAATTAGACATTATATGGCGGCAGTATCCACCTAGCCAGCAGAAAAGATAAAGAACATCTTCGCTCGCCGATGTTAACATCCATTGGCATCTCAAACAACGCCCGAGTGCGACACACCTTATCCATCTTTGATGTCTTCCTTCTGCGCCGGCTGACATAGCATACACCCCGGCGGAAGAAAACATTAACATTAATTGTCATCGCCCGTTATACTCATCTAGTTCGCGCGGATGTTTTGCACACCGGTCGTATCTCATTCTCTCAGACCTTAGGGACCCCAGGTCCGGTCTGTTGCAGCTCAATGACATAGGCATTCGCCTTGTCGCTTTTCTGAAACCGCCTCTCCTTGTGACACGCCATGCACACGAAGACGAGAAGGATCAAGTGGAATACACTGTCATATCTAGCCCACCACAGGAAAATTTAGTTGGTTAGCTTGTGTGAACATCATGAATAGTAGAAGATAGGAAGTTCAAAACATGCGATGTGAGCGGAAGAGGGAACGTAGAGAGAGGGGGAAAAAGGGGGAAAAAATGCCTGAAGGGCGAAAACTGGCAAATCGATAAACGTCAAAACCTGCGCCGTCCTCTCGGTAGCTGTTATCCTTTTCGTCACGGCGCATTCCTCGCTCTTTTTCACATCACAGGGACCCCAGGTGATCATGACATCGCATGCAAATCCACTCAAGCTAGCCAAGGACAGCGCGGTGATCAGGTCAAATCCAACGGGGATGCCTGGGTGCATCGACGCCCTTGACTTCTTCACCCATACAGCTATTACATAGGCAAGTGAGCAAACGAAGGGCAAACGAAGGTAAGCGCGAGCTTTGGTGTTTGTTAATATTAATTAGCCCATGATCGAACGAACATTGTTGAATCAGCCAAAGGGAATAAAAGCAAAAGGTGACCGATGATTGCTGATTTCTTATCGCGCAGCAAATCAATACTTTGCATAGATGGAACTGCGTTCTCTCGTCCACAAGAGTACTCACTGGCGCCATGAAGAAAATGGCCGCGATTCCTCCCACGCCATCGATGTATACATGTCTAAATGATTTGCCCACCCACCTTGTTAGTGGGGAGGTAGGTATATCATAGGTCAAATGAGATAAAGACTTCCAACAGGAGGCTACCATCTCACTCCTGCTGCGATATAGCATAAGTCACCAAACAAAAGCCACAAACGCCCGTGAAGATCGTGATAATCCCCAGAACATAGTTGAAGTGTAAGTGCTTGTACGCCCTGTCGTAGTTCGATCGTGGCATGATCTTTGTTGCAGAGGGGGGAAGGAGGGACGTCTGGTGCAGTTGGTCGGCAACAGAAAAGCACGTTGGATTGGATCGCTGTGAAAATGAACGTCTTTTGAAGTAAAAAATTTACTTTAAGAAGCACCTGGAGCTCTTGAGAGCTTCAAGGGTTCTGAAGCTCATGCTTTTATGTGCTGCTGCACAAGAGAAATCGCCGTTCATCATAGCTCGTTTCAGTTCTTGTGCGTTTGGAGGTATGTGAGGGGGCCAAATGGTATGCTGTCAAGCAATATTAGACGTCTAAGGCTGATCAGCTGTAACTAGTAATGATGTGCAAAAAGTGCGGCTTCTCTCCGTGTTTCTTATTTATTTATACTTCTGACGTCGTTGCGAGGTGATCCGCCGATGGTTAATGGGGAATGAGGGTGCCTTGACCGTACTTGTTGGGCCGGCCTTCTTGTACTGTAAGATGAACCGATCCTTTGGATAGTGACAAAACCGACTCCTAGGGGACACGGAATGATTAGCTTCAATTTTTTGACATACTGCGCCCCATACTCTAGATACTTTACATCATCTGTTGGAGCATCTTATGGGCCATTTACCCCCGTTCACTTCAAGCTTTAGTAGCAGGTTTTATACGAGGCTATAAACCTAATTCAAGCACATATCATAAAATAACGGCGAGAACGTTGATATTCCTATTTCCTTGTCGAATAAAACGTCTAAATTCTGGGGCTACGTCCTGCGCTTCTGTTAAGTGCTCATATTCTGGCAATATAGAATCGCCGAAAAAACTGGACCTCTTTTCTTCCCTCCCCCCCAACTTCAAAGGAAAAGAATGGGGGGGACGCATAGCCTCCTCACGGATGAATTGATAGCAATAGCCATGTGTTTCCAAACGAAAAATAATGGGATTGGGGTAACCATTATTAGTGAGGTATATACAAATGAAAAAATCGCAGCGTCTTGCTTTGTGGTTGGACATATATATATATTTGGTTCTCGTTTTCTGCTTTTTCTTAATTTACAAAAGGACTAAACAAATGGTGGGAGTAACTTTGGGGTGCCGTAGGGAGGGTGGAAACGATTAGATACTTTAAACCCTATGGCACAAACGCAACACCTGCGCCGCGAGCATTATTTATTGCTCTTCGGTGGACTCCGCTGCCTTGACGGCCGCTGTCTCCTTTTGCCGGCGCGCCAACTCTTTCCACTTCTTGGTCAGTTCGTTCCGGGACTCATAGTGGGTGGCAAGGGCTTCACGGCCGATCAGACTGATAACGATGCTGGCACCGACAACGAAGGTCAGGACGAAGCGGTACATGTGGTACCAGGATGGCGTCCAGCCCTTAACCGCGGCGCGGGCGTCGTTATAGTACAGGAAGGTGAAGGCACAGAACTGAGAGATCAGGGCGTATTCAATAGGCATGAATAGGGTGGGCCAGGCGACGGCAGGTGCGACGACACCAATAGCATATCGTTGGTAGCCAACCTTTCCACCGTAGCCGGCCCATTCCAGACCCCAGTGGATGGCGCCGAGGAAAGAGAGGATCTATAAAAAAGAAATTAGAATGCCCCCAAATAATGTAAGGAAACCTAGGAGGGGGATGACAAGGTATGTGAGAGGGACTTACAACTGCGCCATATCCAACCTGAACCGGCTCAAGAATGCTCATCATCATTTCCGCAGTTTGGCCGGTGATGTAGTAGCCAGTACCAGTGGTGATGGCATTGTTCAATTCCCAGGACAAGTAAACAGTTTGAAGCGAAGTCGCGAGGTAAGGAAGGACACCGGCCAATCCGAGGTACAAGGCTTCTTTGGGAACTTCCTTGAGAGAGAAAGTCTCACGGATAATTTTCTATACAAATTTGCCCCGATGTTAGTGTTTCTTGCGATGGAAACCCAATTCCCGGCCTTCGTCCGCGACCGACGTCGCTGGGAGAGCAAAATACTGACCATATCGCTCTTTACACCAGCCATCATATCAATATCCTCCTCTTCCTCAGCCTTCCGCGCTGGCGTAGGCTCGTTGGTCTTGACAGCAGCTGTCGAGGCATATCGGGTAAGAGCGGTGGTTGTAGGTTTGCGGGCGGCTAGTGCGAGAGATGTCGAACGAGTGACAGCGGCTTGGCGGACAGACGAAGTCAATTGGGCCTTGAAAATGGTGCTAGACAATGCCGAGCGTGTTACAGATGAATTTGAGCTGGTTGCTGCCCTCAGGATAGAGCGAGCAGCGGCGGTTCGGTAAAACATGGCGGGCGGGTAAGGATGGATTCGAGGAGACGGGGCGGAGGACTTCGGAGAACGCAAGACCACCAGCGGAGGGGGCGGGCTAAGCGCAGGTGGCTTCTAATTGCACTGGGAAACGGAGTAGAGGCTCGAGCGAGCGTAATGGAGAGAGATTGGGCACCGAGAAGGGCTTTGAGAGGAGAGTGGTGAGTCTTTGTCCCGACGTTGTCATTGATATTTGTTGTTTGGCCGGAGATGTTCAGGCGGGATTTGGTGTATTAGGTAATCTCCTCGGTTAGTGCGCCGGGTGGCTGAATCCAGCTTAGTTCGCTTTGTCTGAAAACTCCGGATTCCAAATAGTTAACATTGGTGATTGTTGGCGTACTGATTACAATTAATTCATGATCACTGGGTGCTGATCTCACGATATGATTGTATTCATAATCTCAGAAGGCTGCAGACTTGAGATGGGTTTTGTGATAGAGCAAGAGTGCTGCAATGAAGACTCAGCTCCCTGTAAGCATGAATACTGAGAGCTGCCGAGACAAACTCATCTTTTGGTTGATTGAGCGTGTCAGACCTTGAAAAGTCCTATGCCATGTTCACTGGTTTCTGGACAATAGCAATGTTAAGTTGATCACAAGATTGAAAGGATTATAAGATGACTGACATCTGTTAGTTACACTCAGCATTTATGTTTGTGGACCGCCTTTAGCAGTCTCCTGTTACAACTGGTTCCCTCCAAAGCTCACACCTAAGTCTGCCGCTCAAAGATATCAAGCTGACCAAGATACATGCATATCATCCCCATATACAGGTGCTCTGGGGGCTCGTCATATGTTTGAAACTCCGCGCAACTAGTTTAGCGGTAACAAATGCCAATCGGATTTTACAAAAAGTTCCAGGTTTACGGCGACGCGCTAGAGTACTCACGCAACTACCTGAACATTCAAACCTGGTGATTCGGATCCCCTATAGGATTGATTGAGACGTTGAAAAAGCATGAATGGTGTGACTATACTCCGTACTCCATGGATTAAATAACACTGGTGGTGGTGGTGGTTGGTGAAACAGGATGCCCGGACCTCAACACATTAAACGACCTGAAGTTCCTGAGAGTTTGAAACCTTGAAAGCCAGAGTTCAAGCCTTTCTATGCAAGGAAAGGACTAAGCAAGAAGTTGACTCTGTGCAGCTTCGTCCGGCCATGTGTGTCTCGACCGGCAGACGAGAGCTGCTAGGGTGTGGTGCCAAGCCATCACAGCGAGGATGTTCCAGGACCAACCCCCCCCGCTGCAATTGTCAACCTTCTCCTTTCCACGCTTCTATGAATTTTGTATACTGCCATTACAATTTCTCTAGTCGCCTCGGGGCCCAAGTCTCATCGTCCGGCAGATCTATACAATGTCTGCTACATTTGTTACATCGTCACATGACCCCTACTTGTTCGCCATTGCACAAGGGCACGCGCAGTTGCTGGGAATGCAAGTTGCGGAAGATGAAGTGTAGATTCGATCCGAGAGTTGCTAGCATGCCCTGCAACGGCTGTCGACGACGGGACTCCCGATGTATTAGCCAGGACTTCCCCGAGGACCTCCCATGTGTCCCCATGGGCATTAGATCTGTGCGCAATGGGAGTCATGGCGCTCCCTTTGACGGCAGTACTCCTGCTGCTGCCACACCCAGTGAGAATGGCAGGGCAGATCCTAACATCGTCATACCTATGTCAAATGGACATTGAGCCTTCACGATACCCAGCCCCTGATAAATCTTCTGAGGTCCATCTTCCAGCTTCTAGTATTGTAGGATTGCTACTGATTATTTTCAGCAATATCTTACGAACAATGATACCGGGCGCCAGCCTCACAACATAAATATGAAATGCTTTCTCGGTTCCTGCATGTGTCATTACCATCGCGAGAAGATACGGAGAGTATCTGCAAAGCCAGTCGGCACTCGTCCATCCTCTCCCATGAATTGATGACTACCCCATATAGTACCTTCTACCAGAACGGCCTCAAAACGCCCGATAACTTTCTCATGATTCCGGAACCAAAAATGCATCCGGCTCTAATCGCGAGGCCGCCAGCACGTCTGGTACATGCACATGAACATCTTCCTGCGATTGCCCGGCGTGCCTGTCTGCTTGCCTGCCCACAAACCGGCCCATAGATCTCAACATGGGTTTAGAGACTGGGAATTAAGATTTCGCACTGTCTTTCTGTTTTCTTGCAAGTTTGTCAGCAGCCGGATAGTGATTGAAGATTGTGGTTACTAACTCACTTGGAAGAATGCGTAGATTACCAAACATGTTTTGCAGTCGAGTCGACCATAAATACGGAGTAATGTCGCGCGGAAAACTGAACTGGATCAACCTCAGTTTCAATTGATGCCTATATATATATATATATAAATTAAAATATTGCTTCTCCGGCTCTATGGAAGGAAATATACCAACTATATCATAGAGCAACTGTAGGAGAGTATCGATAGCGCAGTCAGTCCCCTTATCCTCATTGTTGTTAGACCCGATTGTGCCGAGCTTGGATCAAAAAGAGGGGAGTCAGAGTAAGAGCGAAAATAGATTCAGTAACTATTTCTTGTGAAAAAATATATACGTACGAGCAAGTCCTCCGTGGAATTGATATGCCTAATAATACCTAGAGCATTTCTGCTTGTAATCTGAATATATTTAAGCAAGCAGCCACAAAAGGTCAAGGAACAGGACGTTTTGTGGAGACTTTGGGTAACAACAAAGTATTTTTTTCCCTTGCGGCTTGCTCCTTCGGGCAGCTATTTAACTAACTGGTGACGTAAACTCTCCTTCACCTGCTGCTTGCCAACCCGCCACGACCTGCTCACCAGTTGCTTCTAAGCTTCATATCACAGACCAACCTTGGATTCTCTTGAAGTATCGCGGTATTCTGCCCGACTACTGTGGATGTGTATGCTGGAGACTGAAGGCTGGAGACATAGCATGATTGCTGCGTCCGTATCCCGTGTGCTGGAGTAAACCCTCACCAACCTTTAGGGCTTCCTGAATCCGAACCAATGCGGTAAGCCATTCCCCGCCTTTAGCATACTAGCAAGGCCTCTGTATGCTATTCGTAAATGAGAGTTGAGTCTTTGCAAGTGACTTCTTTCCAGCCGTGTGGGGGGAAAAATGCCAATCTCGTTCCTCGAACTTTGTTTACTATCATTCGGGATATCATCCACAGTCGCATCGAGATACTAACAACTACTATGCGTCTAGTACCACTCTTGCGGTTTACTAAACTCCATTTTAATTCCCATGCTTTTCGATTTGAGATACGCGACCTCGGACCTCCTCCCGTTCTATCTTCACATACCCGATTGAATTCCCCCTCCCCCGGTCAGGGTAACGACCGTCGACTGCCAACATGCTCGAAGGCATCGTTGCGAACCTGTTAAACAGGTTTCTGGGCATGTACGTCAAAAATTTCGATGCGGGACAACTCAATGTTGGGATCTGGTCTGGCGACGTGAAACTGCGAAACCTTGAACTGCGGCGGGAAGCCCTCGACCAGCTCCGTCTTCCCTTAAATGTCGTCGAAGGTCATCTTGGAGAACTTACCTTATCAATACCCTGGTCAAATTTGAGGGGCCAGCCAGTGAGGGTCCACATACAAGACGTCTTCCTACTCGCAGCACCCAAAGAGGATGCCACCTACGACCCAGAAGAGGAAAAACGACGGCAACATGCGATCAAGATGGAGAAACTCGAAAGTGCAGAAATACTTAAGGAGCAGCAAAGCACTGACGGAATGTCCCAAGAAGAGCGGTTAAAAAATCAGAGCTTTACTCAAAGTTTGACTACCGCTATTATCGACAATCTACAGGTGGAGATTAAGAATGTGCATTTCCGCTACGAGGATTCCATTGCCGCCCCGGGGCATCATTTTGCCGTAGGCATAACTGTCAAGGAGCTCAGTGCTGTCAGCACGGATGCTGATTGGAAACCCACATTTGTTCAGTCCACATCAGGCACAAGCCATAAATTGGCTGTCCTAGAAGCTCTTGCTGTCTATTGGAATACGGATGTGGAACTCTTCGGATCAGGCACCGGGGGAAATGGCGAAGGCATGGGCCTGAGTCGTGAGGAGTTGATCAGTAGACTCAAGGCCGCCATCAATGAAGAAAACCACCAGTTCATGCTGAAACCCGTTAGTGGCAGAGCGGGCCTCGAGATTGATAAAACTGGGCGGACAGATCGACCAAGAATCAAGGCGAGGTTGCTTTTTGATGAACTTGGCTTTGTCCTTGATGAAGATCAGTACCGTGATGTGCTGATGCTCGTTGATTTATTCCACTACTTTATTCGGCATCAAGAATACAAGCAACACCAACCGAAAGTTCGACCCAAGGAAGACCCAAGAGCTTGGTTACAGTTCGCTGCAAATTCTGTTCTTAGCAAAATCCACGAACGGAATCGGCGTTGGACATGGGGTTATATTAAAGAACGAAGGGATGATCGGGTCTCATATATCAACTTATTTAAAAAGAAAAAGAGGGAGGAAACTCTATCGCCAGAAGAAGCTGCGGAACTGGGCCGTCTGGAGGAGAAACTTTCCTATGAAGATCTCAGATTTTGGAGGTCATTAGCAAGGAACCAATTGAGGAAGGAAAATGTTGGAGTTAAGAAGCCTGCCAGAAGTCAGACCTGGTCCGAATGGATTTGGGGCACCAAGAAGGAGGAGGAAAGTACAACAATGACCGAGGAGCAGAAACAGGAGCTGTATGATGCAATCGACTGGGATGAGAAAAAGGCCATCGCCGAGAGTGTCGAGCTTCCCAAGGACTCTGTCAAGTTCCAGGTAGATTCTAGCCTGCGAACGGGTAGCTTTACTTTAAAACGAGATCCCCAAGGAAAAGCAAACGAGGTTCTGAAGCTGGTCTTTGACAAGTTCCGAGCGAAAGCGAAACAACGACCAGATTCCTTCGTCATTGATATTGACTTAGGAGGCCTTCGATTGTATGATGGAACGACAGAAGGCACTCTTTTCCCGCAAATAATTCGAGTTAAGGACAGGGTGACAGAGCTTAAGGACGAAGCAAGCGAGAAGATAGAGAGCCAAGACCTTGAATCCCAGGAGGAGGAAACGTTGGACTTAGATGCCAGCCTTTTCCATCTTCAGCTAGAACAAAACCCGCTTGATGGCAGTGCAGATTCCGCAATCAAGATGAAGTTGAAGAGTATTGAGGTTATTTACAACCCTGCGGTCCTAGTTGAAGTGGTCAGGTTTTTACGGCCCCCTGAAAGACACATGGAGTCCATTGGTGCCCTGCTTGAAACTGCTGGTGCCACTGTCGAAGAGATTCGACAGCAGACCCGAGCCGGGTTGGAATTCGCGCTAGAGGAGCACAAGACAGTAAATGCGCAGCTCGATATCCAGGCACCTCTGATCATCGTTCCAGAAAGCATTGTCAAGGAAAGCACCATATGTTTAATCGTTGATGCTGGTCATGTCAGTGTTACCAGCGAATTAGTATCCAAGGACACTATTAAGGATTCGCAGGGAAGACAAAAGAAAGGGTTCAGCGAAGAGGACTACAGGCAGCTCGAAAGTTTGATGTACGACAAATTTCTCTTAAAGCTTGAGTCCACTCAAGTCCTTATCGGCCCTGGAATCGAGGCCACCAAAGCACAGCTAACCTCGGGCGTCGTTTCGAAAAATTTCCATATCATTGACCGCATAAGTATGCATTTCATGCTTGAATTGTGCATTGTCCCGAAATCTACGGAACTTACGCGCACGCGAGTGTCAGGCCGTCTGCAAGAATTGCATGCATCGATGTCTGACACAAAGTATAAAAATCTCATGAGGTTGATTGACATTGCGATTCCGCGGATCGACGAAGAAACCCAAGATTTCACTAAGTTACAGGGAGCCCCAAGAGAAAGGTCCGGGACAGATGCCTCAACTAGGAAACCAAGATCATCGTCATTCCAACTGCCTAGCCTACCGGAGATCACTGTCGATGAAACTGATTCAGTTGCGGAAGAGTCAGGCGGTCGCACTGTCGAGAAGGGGTCCAGACAGCCCACCAACATCCACAAGAGAATATTTGAATTCAAATTTACAGTTGACACACTTCGCGGTTCGCTTTACCGCTCTGACCCTAATGGGGAAAGCGCTGATAAGTTGCTGGTAGAGTTGGTTGCCAAACATTTCCAACTGGACTACTACCTTCGCCAATACGATATGGTTGCAGAAATTCTCCTAAACTCTCTTAGCGTGGATGATTATATCGAGGATTCGCCGTCCCCGGATTTTAAGCAAATAATCTCCTCCAAGGGTTCTGACGCAAATGAAGAAAGGGATTTGTTCAACCTGAGGTTTGTTCGTGTGAATCCGAAATCTCCGGAGTTTATATCGACCTATGATGGCACAGAAATGAATTTGGACCTTGCAATATCAACTATAAACCTCGTTGTGACAAGGAAAACGCTTCTTACCCTGCTGGACTTTATCCTTATCACCTTTACGAACCCGGGTAACAATAACAATAACAAGGCACAAGAACAGGCACAAGCTGACACACCGTTACTGGATCATCCTGAGGAAGAACAGCAACAGCAACAACCTGGGCCTGGGAAAATCCGTATTAAAGCGAAATTGGAAAGAATTGCTCTCATTCTCAATGATGATGGAGTCAGGCTTGCTACGATAAGTTTAAATGCCGCTGATGTTGGCATCTTTTTAACCGGCCCGTCAATGAGAATTGAAACTCGGATGGGTAGCTTGACTCTCTTCGATGATATGAACCATTCGCAGTCGGCGGTACGAAGGTTAATGAGTATCGAAGGAGACGACTTTGCAGATTTCAAATATCAGACCTTCGATCCCGAGTCCGAAGATTATCCTGGATATAACTCTGAAGTATTCTTGCGATCTGGCTCGATTAAAATTAATTTCATTGAGGGTCCTTATCAGAGAATCATCAACTTCTTAGTTAAATTTGGGAAAATGCAAGCTATTTTCAATGCTGCACGCCAGGCTGCGGCGAACCAAGCGAACCAGATCCAGGAAAATGCTTCACTGATGCGCTTCGATGTCGTGGTTAAGACACCTATCCTCGTATTCCCTCGGATTACCGAGGAAGACAGACCGAGGGATTTCGTGACTGCGCATTTGGGAGAGATTTACGCCAATAATAAGTTCAGCCCGCTTGACGATGAAAGAAAAAGCCCAAGTGTCAACGTGATTTCAGCTGGAATTCGCCATATTCGATTGACTTCAAACTTCTGGTATGAGGACGATTACTGTGAAGAATTGCAGATGATTGAGAAGGTGGACCTCGATTTTACCATACTTTATCTTGACCACCAGGCCGGCGTGCCTCGTCCAGACATCGAAATTGACGGGTCTATGTCTCCAATCAATCTCAGAATATCTCAACCGCAGCTTAAATTTTTACTGGAGCTGTCGAAGACTATCTCAACAGCTCTTTTGCCAGATCAGGATCTCCAGGAAGCAGAAGCAATCGAAGCACTGCCTCCCTCCACCACGGAACCCGCATTCCCCGGCACCCCCAGGCCGAGTCAGGATTTAACCCCTGTGCAGCCCCATTCAAACCCCAACGGTGAAGCTGAGTCAGACCCATGGATACGTCTTGATATGGCATTCCGGGTTGAAACGATTGGTCTCGAGCTAATTCTGGCGAAAGATGGCCAGCCAGTTGGACGTTTAGATGAATCCAGCCTGTCTAAATTTTTCTTGAACAATACAAATGTCAAACTTCGAATGTTGAGTGATGGTGCGCTTGAATCGGAACTCCTGGTGCACTCATTCAACATCCGAGACAGTCGAACCAAAGGAACAAATCGTTTTCGCAAAATTATGTCTCTTATCAATACAGAAGTGCAGCAGCAGTTCATGGCCAGCGTGTCAATTTCCGGAGGTGAAGAAAAACACCTAATCGCTATGCTTACCATTGATAGCCCAAGAGTCATATTTGCCTTAGATTATCTTTTCGCGCTCCAATCCTTTGCAAGTGCAGCTTTTGCCAACGACGAACACCCTGCAGCCGATGATGAAGACGAGGAAACGGAGGAGACGGAATCTGTACCACCTTCGCCCAGTTCCCCTGTGAAAACTTCTCCCTCAGGAGCTACCAATGGTTCTAAAAATGCGATGACATTTTCTTTCAGAGTCAACATAGTTGATGCCCAAATGATTCTAGTGGCTAACCCAGCGATAACTAATACCGAAGCCATTGTCCTAGGTTCGAAGCAATTAATATACTCTCAACAGAATGCCTCCACGCTGGAAATGACCAAAGTCGGCATGTTTCTCTGCCGCATGGACAAATTTGAGACCAGCCGGCTTCGACTGCTGGACGATTTCGCAATTGCTCTTTCCATGGATGTCCAGTCCAAAGGGAGATGCTCCTCGATGACAAGAATCAACATACATGTTGATCCTCTAGTACTTCGACTATCACTGAGAGATATTCTTCTTGCCGTTCAAATTATGAACAAGGCTTCTGAAATGACGAAATCGAGGGCCGAACCTTTGGAGGATTCCGAGTCGAAGAGTTTGAAGGATCAGAAGTCTATAAAGTCCACTCGACGACGATCAGTCGGAGGCAGACCTGCAACGTTCCATTCTGCCAGCTCCAGTTCACATCAAAAACCCGTTGTTGAGACAGAAATTGGGAAAATCCAACAGTCAACAATCATGAAAAGGGAGGAAATGACAGCCCAGATTGATGGAGTTCGGGTTATTCTTATCGGGGATTTGCACGAACTACCTCTTCTTGACTGGAGTGTGAAACAATTTAACGTCGACGTTCGAGATTGGTCTACCAACATGAGTGCAGATACCTCAGTCGACACCTTCCTCAATGTGTACAATTTTTCAAAGTCGGTTTGGGAGCCCCTAATTGAGCCGTGGAAATTCGGATTCCACATGTCGAAGGAAATAAATCCAGATGTTCTATCCATCGAAGCTTTTTCTCATAAGAACATGGAACTCACGATTACATCTGCGACTATTGCTTTAGCGTCAAAATCTTTCCAGTTCCTCTCCACTGAGGAGGATGTCCTGTCGAAACCCCGGGGAGCTGATGCGCCGTATAAACTGCGTAATTATACCGGGTTCGACCTGAGAGTTTGGGCTGATACTGACAAAAGCGGAGAAGGGCATGCCAGGATGCTGAGTGATGGTGAAGAATGTCCCTGGAGATTCGAAGATGCGACTGCGATGCGGGAGAACCTCTCACCAGAAGCCAACGCTGGCATGGTCGGTATTAAGCTCGAGGGAAGTGGGTTCGATGCAATTAACAGAATTACTGTTGTCCGCGAAGGCGAAACGTTATATAACTTAAAACCAAAGAAGGAAAAAGTACTCCACAAGCTCGTCGTTGAAGTTGTACTGGGGGCGGACAACGTGAAATATATCACCTTACGTTCGCCACTACTCGTGGAGAATAAAACACAAATTCCAGTGGAATTAGGTGTGTTTAGTCCTGAAGATGGACACCTCCTCAAGATCGAGAAGATTCTACCTGGCGATGCCCGGCCTGCTCCTGTAGGAGCTGCTTACATGCATTCTTTAGTGGTTCGACCTGACCAGGGATTCGGCTACGACTGGTCGAACGAGAGGCTCTTCTGGAATGATCTACTGAAGAGGCCCACCAGAACACTCAGGTGCAATAGCGAAAACGGACAGCAGGCCCCACCATTCTATTTCCAAATGAGTGCAAATTTTGATACCAAGGATCCTATCCTTAATGTTTATCCATACATGAGAATCCGCGTTTCTGCCCCGATCGAGATCCAGAATCTTCTCCCATACGACTTCAAGTACCGCATCTATGACAAGAATACCCGGAAAGATTGGACAAACTTCCTTCGAAAGGGTGGCATCAGCCCTGTACACGTCGTTGAATTGTCTCATCTATTACTCCTCAGTGTCGATTTGCAAGACACGGCCTTTAGACACTGTGAATTTGCTATAATAAACGGAAATGCGCAGGAAGACTTCCGGAGGGAGTCGATCCTTACAGTCCAGGATGACTCCGGTACGGAATTACGGCTTGGTCTGCATTATTTTACCGTTCCAGATAGCGGAGGGGCCTTTAAGGTTTCGATATTCAGTCCTTATCTGATATTAAACAAGACAGGACTAGATCTTAACCTCCAAAGCAAGAGCATGTTCCAGTCGACAAAATCCGCTGGGCAAGCTATCAGGACAGATGGACGCAGTGGCGTTCGGAGGGCTTTGCCATACATGTACTCCTATCCTACCGTGGATCGCAGAAACAGATCTATTCTACGGGTCGAGGGTTCTTCATGGAGTAAGCCCCAAAGTTTTGAGGCCATAGGGAGCACATTTGAAGCCATTCTACCTGCTTCAAACGGAAGGGCCGAGTACCATGCTGGCATTACCGTCGAAGAAGGCGAGGGGAAGTATAAACTTACGAAAGTGGTCACTGTGGCGCCTCGTTTCGTCCTAAACAACAAGCTGAATGAAGATCTGATTGCTCGCGAACCAGGCTCCCCAAACGTGATCAGCCTCCGAACGGGTGATTTAGTACCACTTCACTTCTTGCGACACGCTCCCCAAAAACAACTTTGCTTATGCTTTCCCGGTGTAAATAACCAGTGGTCTTCTCCTTTTAACATATCGGATCTAGGAGCTATCCATGTGAAGCTGGCCAGGGCCAACCAACGCCAGAAGCTCATCCGAATAGAGGTTCTCATGGAAGCAGCCACAATATTCCTCCATATCATTAGCGAAACTTTACATTGGCCTTTCTCAATGCGCAATGAAAGCGATACTGAATTTATGTTTTTCCAAGCTGTAAGTCGCATTCCTTGAAATTTTTGGGGCACAGACACTGCATACTAACACTCCTTGCTAGAATCCTAACCTAGATGAGGATGAGGATTACCGAGAAACTGGCTGGCGTCCAATCCGATATCGCCTCCCCCCTAGAAGCATCATGCCTTACGCCTGGGACTATCCGGCTGCCAAAAACAAGTCGCTTGTTCTGTTATGTCGTGGCAAGGAGAGACACATCAAACTAGCCGAGATTGGGAATCTAATTCCAATGAAGATACCACCAATCGAAGAACATGGCCTATCAAAGATTATCGATTTAAATATCTCCGCTGAAGGCCCTACACAAACACTAATTCTGTCAAATTATAAACCATCCAAGAGCATGTACCGCCAGTATCATGCCCCGTCCTCACAGACCAGTATCTCCTCTGGTTTTGAAGTGAAAGATATCAAGTCCGATGTCAACTTCAAAGCACAACTTCGACTAGGTGGCATTGGAATATCCCTTATCAACCAGAAGCTTAAAGAGCTAGTTTACTTCACCTTCCGGGATATCGAATTCAAGTTTAGCGAATCAAAGCTCTACCAAACCGTTGATACGACAATAAAATGGATACAGGTTGACAACCAACTTTACGGTGGCATCTTCCCCATGCTGCTCTATCCAAGTGTGGTCCAGAAAACTGGGAAGGAGATGGAAGCACATCCTATCTTCCATGCTAAAGTTACCCGTGTTAAAGACGATTCATACGGCGTCTTATATATCAAATACGCCACGCTCCTTTTGCAACAGATGACTTTGGAACTTGACGAGGATTTCATTTTCGCGATGCTGGATTTTGTGAAGGTACCTGGTGCGTCATGGTCTGAGGAGAAGGAAGGAAGGCTTTGTGATGCAGATCTAGATATCCCAGAGCCACAACAAGAGGAACACGGCAAAGACGTATATTTTGAAGTCTTGCATCTCCAGCCTATGCAATTAGATCTTTCTTTCGTGCGTACCCAGCGAGTGAACGTTGAGGATACCATGGAGCCGTCTAACCCCCTCATGTTCTTCATCAACGTCCTGACAATGTCAATGGGAAACGTCAACGATGCTCCTGTCCGGCTAAATGCTCTAATGTTGGAAAACGCGAGAGTATCGATGCCTATGCTACTTTCCAGCGTCACGAGCCATTACACCCAAGAATTCCTCCGCCAAATCCACGTTGTTCTCGGTTCGGCCGATTTCTTAGGAAATCCTGTTGGTTTGTTCAATACCGTGAGCTCAGGCTTTGTTGACATATTTTATGAACCGTATCAGGGTCTCGTCATGTCGGATCGACCACAGGAACTAGGGATCGGAATTGCAAAGGGCGCTACAAGTTTCGTCAAGAAGTCTGTGTTTGGGTTTTCGGACAGTATGGCCAAGTTCACTGGAAGTTTGTCGAAGGGCCTGGCGGCAGCAACTCTGGACAAAGAATTCCAAGACCAACGGAGGATGGCGAGAGCGCGCAATCGGCCTAAACATGCGTTGTACGGAGTTACCTCTGGTGGAAATGCATTTGCTCAAAGTATGGCCAGTGGTATTGGGGGCCTAGCACGTCATCCTTTAGAAGGCGCCGAAAAGGAAGGATTACAAGGCTTCGTGAAGGGAATTGGCAAGGGGGTTTTGGGTCTTGCGACCAAGCCAGCTCTAGGCGCCTTTGATCTCGCCTCCAGTAAGTAACAACCCCGATAACCTCTCCCCTTAAAAAAAAATTATCTATATTAACGAACGATACTTTCCAGACCTCGCCGAAGGTGTTCGAAACACCACTACGGTTTTTGATACTGGTGGATTAGACCGCGTCCGTCTTACCCGCTTCATTGGCATGGATGGCATAGTCCGGCCCTACTCACAACGAGAAGCACTAGGCCAGTTCTGGCTTAAAACTACTGACGATGGCAAATATTTCAACGACGACTATCTTGCACATCTCGAGTTCCCGGGCAAAGATATGATGATCATGCTCACGTATAATCGCATTATGCTCGTTCGGTCCAAGCGCCTAACTGCAGAATGGGACATCAAGCTAACCGATATCCAAACCATTTCCAAAGAGAGAACCGGGATGAGTATCACTCTCAAGGGTGGTGCAAATGGCCCTTTCATACCAGTGCAAGACGAGAGCGCAAGAAATTGGCTCTATAAACAGATCGCTATTGGTACGTTTTGAATTCTGGCAAACCGTGCTCCGTGCTCATTGCGTCGCTTTGTTGGTTGGATAACTAACTAACAACATTTCTCTCTTCAGCTGTAAATGCATTTAATGAGAAATACAGCGCCAAGGGATAATTGGGAATCATTTTATTGTAAGGCACTGGCGTTGATGAAAAATGATGTCTTAAAAAGAATTAATGGAGGGATAGTAAAGGTGGAGGGAAAAGGGGGAAAGCAAAGAAGTCCAAATCTACGGAAATAGGAAGCGAGAAGCAAGAGAAGCAAGACGAAGTTTGATGTGCTGTTTTCACACCATTGGCATTGCTTGATTACTGGTTTTAGTAGTATATTTACCCTTGCGCCTTGGTTTTTCCTCCTGATCTGATTGTTTTTACTGCTATTCCTTTTACATAGAGACCCCATCCGCGACTTCGTTACGATGTCATTTCACGTTGAATTTGGCCTTGATATTATGTGTTAATAGAGGGGGGGAAATGGCTAAGTTATATATTCTAGTTACATATTTTCCAGAGATGCATGTACTGTACATGCCAGAAGGGATCGGCTACTTTCAAGATTCGATACCACAAAATACGAGTATATTATGTTGGTTATATATATTGTAGTAAATTGATAGAATCCCAAGATTAAATCTTAAATTTCATTGTTCCTATTGTTGAACGGTCATCCCGCGAAGGAGCTAGCGGCACGGAATAGACAGTTATTCGTTTCTTTTTCATACACTCTAAGATATTATTAGCTAGAAATATCCCCAGAAAACTCCTATTAGAGCAACATTAAATTCCCTCTCCTTTACAACAAGCTGTTCGCACACTGCCCACATGCCCTGCCTGGCTGGGATCATAAATGTGAAGGGTATTAAAATAAAATCAAAAGTCTTGCCTTGAAAAAACGGCTTGATAAGAATGGCGAAGGAAGTTATTTCCCCTCCGCGCGTGCTACAAGAACATTATCTAACCCAAGAGGTTCCCATATGTCTCTCGCCTTCTTATTCTGCGCCCATACCACGTCCCCCTTGAGGTACACCAACACACCACCCTTCCCATTGGCACTCGCCGTAATACGGAATAACGGCAGGCCGCTCTGGACATGTGCTTCGCGCAGTGGGATCATGATAAGTCCCTCATCCGCACACCATTCTTCCACGACGTCTTTGAATGTGGGCTCCTCGATACGCTTGGCAGGTGCTGGTCGGGGTTTGGAGGTAGCTGGGGGTACTTGCGAAGGGAATGGTTTTTGCTTGATATGGTCTCGTAGGTCTCTTTGTTGCTGTCTCTGTTGACTGGTGGATGGTGGCGGCAGTTCTGTCTTTGCCCTGTCACTCAGGTCAAGTGCAAGATTCATCATTTCAAGCCCCCGTTCCCATTCCTCGACTACTTCGTCGACGGCGTTAATTTCATCGGGGACTTGCGACTTCCACCAGGAGAACCATTGGCCAACTTCTTCGTAGTTGGGGTCTGATGTTAGCCAGAGATGGAGCACGGCATGCCATTTAGGGAAGAATTCAGCAGTAAGGAGGAGGGCGATGACGGTTGGTTTGAAATAATCTTTCCATTTCAAGATGTTTTCGAACGGATCCAGGTTCTGGTCCTGTGGGTTCACTTCAAAATCCTCACGGAGGTGTCGGCCTAAACGTGGGAGGAGATGATTTCGTAATGCTGCCTCAAATTCTGAGCCAAGCGCTTCTTTCCAAAATTCAAGGCCTCTAGGAAGCCCCCTATCCAAATCCCAGGTATCCAGTACCACGCGGAATTTTCGTTTTGCGTCTGAGAGGAGGCCCGTTGGCGCTTTAGGGTTTGTGTGTCGTTCGTCCAAGTATCGTAGCCAGTCGAAGAGCCACCATGGAAACTGGGATGCCTGGGATGAAGGCCCATTTCGTTTCTTACTACTTCGTGGCTTCCATTCTTTGATTGCCGTACTGAGTTTTGGGACAATAAGCTGGTCAAGAACATTAGCGTAGATGAATTCGGGCAACACATCTTTCCATGCATCTATCAATGTGGTTGCAGGTGATGGATCCTGCACATCCCAGTCGTTGAGAATAGCGGTTCGGACTCTTGGCAGCCATATAGTATATATCATGGTTTCGTAGGGGGTGGTAGAATGTTTTTGCCTACCATCGCCCTCCTGTATGTTGCGAGGTTTTCGAGATAGGATAGTCTGAAGTCGTTGGAGATTGGAGACCAAATTTGTGGGATCGTTTAGCGGCTCCCATTCTTCCACAGATTCCCTAAAAAGGGGATGAATCGCCGCAACAGCCAGCTCAGAGAGCTCATACTCATCAATTACACTTTCGAATTGGATTTCCAACACTTCCAACCTCTGCGTAATTTGCTCCCATCGTACCGCCAGGCCATCATCAAAACTGAAATTCTCCAACGCTTCCGCAGCGGAAGTTAACGACGACAGTTGCTCGATCTTCGTTTGTTGCGTATCCATCTCTTGTACCACCCGGTCTTCTTCAAGTTCCACAAACTTCCTTCTCTCCGTAAGTGCCTTCCATTCATCTGCAAAAGCTTCAAGGTCATTCCTTGCTCTCCGGGCAATCTTCAGAGCCTCGCTCTCATCCGCGCTCACGAACTCCAGCGGCGTCATCAATCCGGCTGTCGAGGTCAATAGCTTCTGCTCCTTGCCAGTAGCATCTATCAACGACTTGAGAACATTAGGAACCTCCAACCCAACCGTGTCCGCCTCAATCTCGCGCGCAGTTCTAAACTTTGGTTTCGCAGGGCCTCTTGGGGTACTCGTGCCACTCCCACTCTCGTTCTTCCGTTCTTCCTTCCGCAGCCGTCTTACTCTACGCTCCTCATCCGAACTATCTTCCAATACTTCTCCCCTCCTAGCAGCTTCGCGCCTCGCTTCATCTTTTGCTTGCCGCGATTTCTCCTTTATGGCGCCTAAACCAATTCCCTGCGGTCGTAATACAGTTTCGATGGGGGTGAGCATTCCCTGGCCACTGGCGCCCAAGCCTTGACCCTCCTTGTATCCCATCTTAGCCATCATCCGGGCGGCAAATGTATTGCCACTTCCACTAGGTCCGCCCTTCCCTGCCCGGTTCTGTCCTCTGGGACTGGAGCCGCCGCCGTTTGTCCATGCTGGGCGATGGGTCGATTTCGCGTTCATGGTAGGGGGAGGAGATGGGGATTGTGTCATCGTTGAAGGTGCAAATCCGCGAAAACCAAGCGCGGGCTTCACATCCTCCTCATCCTCATCCTCAGATTTGACATCGTTAATTTTCCGCTTCTGACCAGCAAAAGAGGTTCGCGGGGGCCACTCCATGGGGAAGCGACTCTGAAATCTGCTCAGCCAGATTTATTTTTCCTTCCAGGTAAAGTCAGCCATATATAAACAACGTGGAGTTATCATTCATATGCCCACATTGTTAGCAATAGAGAAAATCAGCGTCTCCTTCGTTCGATGTCGCTGTATAAATGTTCAAAGTCGAAGCTTGGTTCGACGCTCTTTACGGGAACAAAATAGCTCCGATCCGGTCTTGGCAGAGCTTAGTCATCGCGGGCCCAATGACGTAACTAACCTGCACCACTCGGCATTTACGCTGAGTTTTAATCTGTTGCGAGGCCAAGCCGGATTCGGCAACGCAGCGAAACCTGGACACTTTTAACCGGCTTCAACAACAAACCGACATCATATCTACATCAGAGGCCAACTGGGGCAACATTCTCTTTATATATAGCTCCTGACCTCTGGCCCTTAATCAAGCAAGCAGATATTCCCCCCTTATTTGACTCTCAATTGACCAAATACCAACCATCCCGAATCCCCCGGTTATCAAAACAAACATCAACCATGGCTACCTCCGTCTTTCGCTCCACAGTAGGTGGTGCCCTTCGAGCTGGTGCTGTGGCAGCTCGACCAAATACCGCAGCTATGTTAGGAGCCGCAGGAGCGCGCCCCATTTCAACCAAAGCCACCCTCCCAGATCTAAAATGTAAGCCACAGTCCAAGCGATAAGTTGATCCAACACCTTACTAAAACAAATACCAGATGACTACGGCGCCCTGGAGCCCTCCATCTCCGGCAAAATTATGGAACTCCACCACAAAAAACACCATCAAACCTACGTAAACTCCTTCAATGATGCTGTCGAGAAACTAGCCGCCGCACAAGGAAAAGCAGACATCCAGACCCAGGTGCAACTGCAGGCCCTGACCAACTTCCACGGCGGTGGACATGTCAACCACTCCCTGTTCTGGGAGAATCTGGCCCCCAAGAGTGCCGGTGGTGGTGAACCACCTTCTGGTGCCCTGGGTAAAGCCATTGACGATTCCTTCGGGAGTTATGACGGCTTCAAGTCTACGTTCAACGCAGCATTGGCGGGCATTCAGGGGAGTGGGTGGGCGTGGCTGGTTAAGGATAAGCAGACATCGAAGATTGCGATTAAGACCTATGCTGTAAGTAGTATCCTTGTTTTTATGTACGGGATAAATGATTAAATTGGATCACTAACTATCATTTTCACTCTAGAACCAAGACCCCGTCGTCGGCCAATTCAAACCCCTCCTGGGTATTGACGCATGGGAACATGCCTACTAGTCAGTGCCCCCTCGTCCTTTTCTCCTTTCAATTTCTCCTCACCTCTTCCTCTTCAATCTCCTTATCCAACAGGAGTACAAAACTAACATCTCCACCCACCAGTCTCCAATACGAAAACCGCAAAGCAGAATACTTCACCGCCATATGGGACGTCGTGAACTGGAAGGCTGCTGAACAGCGTTTTGCTTAAACCAAAAGATGAATCTACCTAACTAATTACAACCACTTTCCTGTACAAGACGCTTTTCCTACTAGAAACAAAGAAGAAATTTCATAAATTAAACATGTGCTTAGTTTGGTTCATTTTTGTAGCAAGGGGAGATTGCAAATTGAGCTTTGACCAAACCTGGCAAACCAACCTCTCCTTGCCACGCCAATTGCCCAGCCTGTATGGACATGTATGTATTGTATGTACATTACATATAACATTTTCTCCGATTGACTTCTCTGGATATCATAAAATTCAACAATACTTATGTATCTCTTTTTCAAACCCTCTTAAGATATTTTAAATCAGAAGAAGAAACAGGGACTGAAGGGAGGAGCAGAAAGCAACAGCTCGCACGAAAATGATACATTAGTTTTATTTTATTTACTATCACCCACTACATTCCACTGATGATCCCTCGTCATGTGTTATGGTATTAATCGTAGAAGAAGAGTGGAAAAAGGAAGAACGACAACACGCCATCCCACCCAACAAACTTCGAGAGAAAAGAGTCCGGAAAACGATATAAACAAATTTAAAAGAACAGAAAAAATTGAATTGGAGCGCCACAACCCCCATACCGTACCGCAAGTTCTAACGAATGAATAAATATTATATATAAAGCGAGAGTTGTCCGTGGCATGATCATTGTTATAATTTCAGTTTCCGATCCCCACCAACAAACAACCGCTTTATATACTTTTTATCTTTCATTTGTGGAAAGACGTCAGAAACGACAAAACTATAAAAAGAAACATCCCATCTTGCCAAGCGGATCCCATCGCGTCGTAGTGCATTTTCGCGTTTGTGTTAAAAGTTACATGATGCTTGCTAGATGGGAACAAAAAGACATAAAGAAGAGCACCCCGTAAGAAACGTTCAGACGAACACATAAAGGGGGGGAAAAAAGGAACACGGCAGAAGCAGAAACGGATAAAGGCCAGAGCAAATCAGGACGACTCAATGCTTATCGCTACATGTACTCATACATTTGTACTGTTCAAAGCACAAAAAGGGAAAAGAGAACGGATACAAAAAAAAACACGGTAAAAAAGAACATGAAAGTATGAAAACATAAAAGATATGGGAAGTGGGAGAGAAACCCGTCCCCATTCCCCCAATTCCCTCTCTTCCCGGGTTCCTTAATAATAATAATAAAAACACAATCGGTAACCAGCAAAGGACATTCTCAAGCAAGCACCATAATTCAACCCTTTTCAGACAGCAGGTCTCCACGACCCCCGCCTCTGCGAAAACCTCGACCCCCGCCTCTCGATCCCGCTGCCTTCGGTTTCAGGCGTAGAAGCCAGATCTACGGGTGCAGTGGCGTGTTTTTGCATACCGTTGATATAACTTTTGTGGGTATTGTTGATATCCACCTGACGCGCATGGGCGACGGCGTAGGACACTGATTTGGAACTTGTATTGTGGGCTTGGGTTGAGTATGGGAAAGCGGTAGGGGAAGATATGGCGGATGCTACCCTTGTCGCTCCTATTATTTTTGGGCCGGTGGGCGTAGGTGTATTTCTCGCGGATGTGGTAGAGCCGCGGTTGCTACTATGATTATTCTCTTTCTCATGGGTCTGTGTAGGGGTAGTAGTGGAGCTTGTCGCGCCACGCATCCAACCAAAGATACCAAGGGAGCTAGGACGTCGTTTGCTCGTCTCGGGCGTCTCTGATGTGCGCGGGCGACTGCCTGCGGCCGTATTGCGTGATGTTGATGTCGATGTCGGTGATTTCAAGGTTCCTGCATCCCCATTTTGCGTGTTGTTGTTGTTGTTGTTGTTGCTGCTGCTGCTGCTGCCATTACCACCGCTACGTCCTGGGCCCGAATCCGCCCTCGCTCTAGCTGGCGGCGCTAGCTCAACATGCACACTCTTGCGGCGACTGGTACTCATACGTCCACTCCTGCCGATTTTAGGCGATGGTGCACTATCCCCATCATCGACTGGATCGGACATGGGGGCCGTTTGGCGTTGGGGTGCAGCCGCAGCGGCGGTAACAGCACGGCTAAAGAAGCGGGGTCGGAGACTGAGGCGATGACGGGGTAGCTCCACGTCTTCTGTCTGTGGAGGGTTATTGTTATTTCTGCTACCTTTGATGCGGCTGCGGAGGCTTGTAGGAGATGGGGAGTGGAGATCATCGGGCTTGGATACTGCTTTTATTTTTTCTGATCGCGTTGTTCCTATTGTCGATGTTGGTGTTGCTGGTTCACCAGTGGACAGCAAGGAGGTGTGTTTTATATCTGTGGAATGGGATTTTTTGTGCTGATGAGAGCGCTGGTGATGAAATTTCACCGGTCTGTGACGTTTACCTCCATCCGCCGGTAGCGCTGCTTCTAGCCAGTCCTGGGGTGTCAATGGTGGTGAGCTGGAAATTGACGCCTCATATCGTGGTTCCGAGTGTGTTGATGTCAGGGACGGAGGGTATCTTTTCCTTCTTGCCGACAGCGTACTATCCTCGCCATTGTTCGGAGTAGTAGCACTGATATTGGGGTTCGTATTTTCCCCAGCATAATCCTCACAATCTTGTCTAGCTAAATCCCCACGAAGGAGAAGCTCCGTCCGCTTCGACCCGCCAGCAACATGGTCACCAAAGGTTGGAAAAATGCTTCCAAGATGGTCCCGGCTAGGGTTAATCCCGAGCCGCGTGGCATTGCTCAACGTCTCAATCATCCCGGATAGCGCGGTACTCCCAGTACTTGGTCGGGTGGTAATATCATCCGCGGATCTGGGTCGTCGTAAAGCAATATGACCCCCTGAAAAGTTAGCGAAAGGGCGACCCTGGTCCAAAAGGCTCTTCTCCACAATAATACTCGAATTGGACCTGTTCCTTGCGTCAGGATTAGACGTACTCATCGTATCTGGCGTAGGTGGTAACCGTCCTCCATTAAACAGCGGTCCGTCCAACCTTGGTGTGTCGAATCTGTATGGCTTAACAGGGTGTTTGGCCTGGAATGCAGTCCCAAGGGAGGGCTGCGGCTTCTTTGGAACGGTTTCCGACGTCTCTACTGGAAAATTGTCCCGCCTTTGTCCAGTAGGAGTCTGTGGGTCATCATGAGGCTGAATCCACTGGTCGATCCGCGACATCTTAACGTCCTTTTCTTCCTTCTGCTTCGACGACAGCTCCAATTTGGAAATAGGTTGTGAAAAACTCCTCTGAATCGAGCCAACGCTTGTCACATCAACGTCGTCGAACCGCTTTGACGGCGTAGCTGACGGGTCCAGATAGCTACATTCACTGAGGATGCTAAGTCTAGGCGATCCTGGCTCCGGCGGCTCGTCTCCTGAAACAAAGCTCTCAGTTAGAGATGACGTGCTGAATCCATTCCCTGACGTAGTTTCCTCGTCTGCGGCAATATAAAGACTGCGAAGAGCGCTGGTACTTCCGCTGTTTTCCAAAAGGAATGACGGGTGCTTCCGGGGCCTCCGTGTTGAAGAACATGTTGTCTCAGTGCGGGTTCGCAACGAGCGCGCAGAGCTTGTCCCCTTCCATGATGAGGTGCGATCGGGTATCTCGAAAATGGGCGTGCCTTTTGGGGTCATGCTAGGAGACGGTGCCAGGCCCTCACTTGTGTGGGGGCGAGCAGTCAATGGCCGCTCATCATCCCCGTCGTCGTTAGTTGCTTCCAGCTCATCTAACCTCGCTTCAAGCCGGCATATCAGCTCCACTGCTTCATTGACCGCCTGGTCTCGCTTATCCAGCTCCAAGCGCAAGTGCTCGTTTGACTCGCGCAAACTCTGATTGCTCTCTTCTACTTCGCGTAATTCCTGTAGTTCCTCTTCCACCCCCTGTAGCCGTTGAACCTCCTCTTCTAGAGCCTCCATGCGTTCGAGCTTCTTCTCCAGCGAAATGAGCTGCTGGGATCGATGATAAATCTCCAATTTGAGGTCGAAATTCAATTTGTTCAGTTTGGAAACGTACTGAAGAATTAACAGGTCAGTACGGAGGATGCTACGTTATAGAGTGGATGTAAATGAGACAGCAGAGAAATCCTCACCTGGTTCATCTCTCTTATCCCCATCTCCCTAGGCTCTTTCAACCCAGCGGATAAAACGTTGGTAACTTTCCGTTGTTTCTCCGATGACGAGTCATCTTGAGATGGAGTTATGGTTGGCGTCTGGACTTGGATGTCGCTGGGGTGTTCAGAAACTCCTCTCCGTCCGCCACGGTTGGCACGCTGTTCATTTATCAGGCCTTGGAGAAGGGAGGAGGTGGGGTTGACCAGCGGTGTTGATCTGGCGGAATCGATATTTCCTGCAATAATAGTTTATCCATTTTAATTGGAATTCCTTGTAGATTTTGATTAAGTAGGAAGACCGGGGGGTAAACTCACGTTGTGGGGTATCATAATGAGTGGACGAGGGGCTTGCGGATACTCTCGAGGAATCTAAACCATTACACATGTTAGAATCCCGAACCAAGCAAGTATTTATCACACATACAGTAGTTTTATGCACATATACATACCGGTATAAATGTTGGCGGGGGCATCCTTCGTGTTCCTTCTCTGGGAAACGGACTTGGAGGGATGTGAGTGATCAGGCGTCGAGGGCTCAGCTATCAGCTTTGTCAGTAACGATTGAATGGTTAATAATGAAACAACACATAATTGAGTTAACTGAGACTAACCAAAGAAGTGTCTCTGAGAGCGAGACGCGACTCTGACAGTGGGAGAAGACGCAGGGCCGTTGGCAAGGCGTTGTCTATAGTGTTTTTGAGTCTCCATGTTTGGCAGCTAGGAATGAAGCTCTTTTGTTCAGCCAAGGCGTTTGGCGTTCTATAACAGAGCCGGAATAAGATGAGGGGTCAATCATCAAGTAGGGATGTGAGAATGCGTATATATATATATATATATATAAATGAGCGCGCGTATTTTCCTCCGCTTAAAATATAATAGGAGGACGGCTGGTTGCTATCGAAATGGGCAGCTTGTCGTGTCGACGATGGTAGACGAGCAGTCTCAAATCAGAGCTTCAATTGTTGAGAAGGGCATGTCTCCATGAGTCCAGCAGGACACTGACCCGGCCTGGTATTGGAATTTTAGGATGGCTATACAATTTAATGAATGCTAGAGTAGTGGTGAAAGAGGGTTATGTCGGTGGTGGTGGTTGTTGTGTGTGGTGGAGAGGAGGCGGACGACTGTGGGCGGGATTGGATAGGATGACCAAGACTAGCAACGCCTATGGAGACGACAGTCCGTAGAAACGTAAGGAGAGAAAAGTAATGAGAGAGAATAGCAATATCGCTGAGTGGTCAATTGGAGAATTGAGAGGAGAGAAGAGTTGAGTTGAGTGCGATTCAGGGGGAGAAAAGATGTGAGGAGTCAAACAGCGCGTTCGTCCTTCTCGTTTCTTTTCTCCAACGGTGGCTGGTGAGCGCTCGCACAAACACTCGATCGGCAACAGTGACTGGCGGGGAGGAATATCGCAGATAGGATAGGAGAAATTTACTCCAAAATACGCCGTGGAAGGGAAAAAAAAAAAAAAAATTGTTGCCAAAATAAATAAATTCAATTGCAATGAAGCCTGTCCGCGAAGATTTCCCACTGGATTTTCTAATCCTCTGTCCCCCTGAAAATGAACATCCAACCATTCGACATCACCAGCAGGGAGAGCTTCAAACTAATATTTTAATACAACCAGCAAACTACCATGCGTAAAGCACCACCCGCTGTCTGCAGCCGATCAGACTAGCTTCACCCCATCACAACCCGCCCAGAACAAGTGGAGTCAAACCCCCTGACTGCGCGGCTGTGGAATGGCAAGCAATCATAACAATTATATGCAAGTGAGGAAGAGCTAAGTTATCATGTCCTGAAGCAGGATCCTACTCAGTTACTACTCTGTATGGAGTAGTTATTTACTTATTTTATTGGTGTTCTTAACCAGGAAACCATCCTCAGCCTGCGCCCAACCACCCGGTTTGAATAAGATGGGGATGGGGCTACGAGTGTCAGTCTCAACCTCAGTGCGCCTGGACTGGACCTGGGCCATCATCCTTGATGGATCCCAAGCTTCCCAGTTGGAGGGTTTCGACCCTCGCTCCCCCGCAGTAGTCACGGAACTAAGGAAGGGCAAAGCTAGCCATTTCTTGCCCCAAAGTCAGGGACTTTCAGGGGAAAAGAGGGACGCAAAACGCTGTGTTCTGTTGCACCCCCCAAAGAGCACATGCATTACACCTAGTTTCGGATTATTCATCGATAAAACACCAGGCCTCGTTCGTCAAGTCTACGGAGTGCTCTCTGCTCTGTGACCTCAATTGCATTATCCCCATTCAGAAATTTCTATCAGTATTGGCAGTGGACTTCATCTCAACAAGAAGGACAAATCATGATCATCACCAGCACTCCCGACTGAGTGGCCCAGGGAATTTTATCAGGTGTCTATACGGAGTACTGAAAACTTCATACAAACGCCCCCCCTTTCGGCAATTTTTGTTCATTTTATTAGTGTTTCCACTCACGGTTCTATAATGGTTAAAACTATCCATATCTTCCCCCCGTCTATTTCTTCCTCGTCTCCCCTGACCAGACACGCATCTCTTTCGCACTCCCATGAGCTGCTCGGAATACTATATTTTTATTGCCCCATCCCCCCGCCGGATATAGTTAGAATTAACAGTGTATAACAACATACATAGTAACGCAA